CTCTTTCTTCACTGTGATTGGTCGAAAACGTGCTGGAATGCTTGTCAGAAGAGATGTTGGAGAAAGATGCCCACGGAGCGTAAGCACAGAGTACTGACGAGTAAAATTAATTATTGGTTTGCCTAATTAGGTGTGCAGCATAAGGTTGGATGAGAAAATCGTCCGGGATGATTTCATAGCTCAGAATATACGCAAAGTTAGCTGTACTGTTGGTCTTTGCTTTCCTTAAAAAGTTTCCATTTAGCTTGGATAAGTAGTCTTTGATATAATCAATATGAAGGTAGCGATTAAATCGTCATTTCTAACATAGTATGGGGCGTTCGTGATGGTTCTCAGGATCTTATTTTACAGGACATGCAGCCGGTGAATTTCACTTGCCTTAGCACTTGCCCAGCCCGGGTAAGGTATATGTGATAGCAGGCCTGACAATTGCAGTGTAAAGCCTTCTTTTGCGTGCAAGGTTTAATCCAGAGTCCTCAGAAAGTAGTTGGGTAAAGCGTTTTCATAATGCCCTACGCTTTTCAACATACACTGTTTATGTGCGCAGTCCAGGTATACTATCGGTTTAATATAACTTCTAGGTATTTTGCTGTACTTACATCAGGGACTGTTTTTCTGAAGAGTGTAACATTGCAGGTGAGGGGTTCTGCGTTCTTGAATTTTCTGATGACTAAAACTTTTGATTTCTCCGGGTTGATCTTAATTTTCTATTGCTGACACCATGCTTCAATATCAGGAATAATCTGCTGAATCTTTTCCAAGGCGTGATCTGGCCGTCTGGACTTCGCGATGATGGCGGTGTGAACCATGCTAACATAGCGTGTTAGCATGATAACATAATATTAGGGTCTTGTCTGAATTTTGGGAAGTCATTTACGTACAGAATATAAAATATTGGTTCAAGGATACTTCCTTGTGGGACACCAACGTAAATTTGATGTGGGTTTGAACTGAAATCTCCTTGCCGCACTGAGAAAGTTCGGGAGTTCAAAAATGAGCTGAGGAGGAGAATAATTTCCCGATGAAAATTCAAATTAATGAGCTTAAAAAATAAGTCCTGTGTGCTAGACGCGGTCAAATGTTTTCACCACGTCTAGCATGAGGATAGCTGCACTAGTTTTGTTATGTAAAGCCTCTCCAATAACTCATATAGATTTTTTGAAAAATTCGTGAAAGTATATTTAATTGCATTTTATTCCGTTGAAGTTAGCTTAATTTTAGGAAGAAAATCGGGATGTACAATCAAATTTCTATAGAATATTTTTAACATTGCACAGTGGAACCTCAAGATAGGAATTTAATTCGTTCCAGCACTGAGCTCGTACAGAGAATTTCTCGTGTCTAGAAACAAACTTCTCCACTGAAAATAATGGAAATCCATTTTATCCGTTCCGCACTCCTAAAAATATCAACATAAAAATCAGTTTTTCTAATAAGTAACACTGGTAAATAATATAACCGCAGTTTACCTTTATGAAAGCTTTCGACAGAGACCTTTTAACTGCTTCTCGTTAATCCACACCAAGAACAGCTTCTCAACAGCTTCTATAATTTTGGACAGTGTTTGGAAGTAACGGTAACTCCTTTGGTTGCGTCAAGTTTTTTAATTTCTTTCTGCTTTTTCAAAATAGTGCAAATCGTCGATGTCGAAAGGCCTAAGTCTTCGCCATTTCTGTCACTCTTACATCACGCTTGTTTATCTATGATTTCTTTCTTGATTTCAACGGCCATGGCTTCTTTATGTTTCTTTGCAGCACTATCTAAGGCAACAATCTTCTTGGGAGGCATCAGGAAATAATTATTTGCACGTTAAATGTAATAAAAAATTGACTCACAAGCTCATAAACACGTAGATCAAAGAACACCGAATGATATGACGACGGAAATGCCGCCACGCATACTAACATCCTGGCTAATTGCTCATTACTCGAGTCAACGCTCGTATTTAGAGACAAAATTTCGCTCATACTTTCCTCTCGAATTTCTCGTGTACAGAGGTGCTCGTATCTCGAGGTTCCACTGTAATTGGCATTGCATAGCTCTTCGTTTAGAATTACTGTTAGGAGATATGATAAAAACCATTAATGGAATGATTCATGCTTTTTATCAGACTGTCCCCCAAATAAGCGAGAATTAAATTAGATTGTAAAAAAATGTAGTTGTCGAACTATTAGAAATGAACTAATATTCAGATCACTATCGGCAGCATTCAGTTTATTGATGGCTGTTTCCATGCGGAGGAATTATCCACCTTATGCAAGCATTTTACACTGTAATATGAATACAGAATAGTCGATCAGTACAGATTCGTCATAATTCGCTTTGAAAATTTAAAAAACAAATTAAATTTAGTTGAGCAAAATAAAAAAAAAATATTCTAAAAAATAGTTCATTTTTGAAATTTCAAATGGTCATTTTTACCATTTGCATATTCAAGTCTCTTTTGTGTGGTATTTTTCAGCAGTTTTAAAATTATGCAATATGATACATATTTGTATATTTTCTGGAGTTTTGCGCTGTAGTACACGTATGCACCTACGCTCGGGCCAGTTATTCTTCTGGGACAGTTGTATCTAGAAGTGGTGAGGATATCATTGAAGAGGATACTCCGCGTTGCCGTTTATCTGTTCCACAATAGCGTCTACATCTGCCAGAGATAAAGTTTATTAAGAGTGAAGAATGTGAAAAACGTCCCTCTCATTGCAACTCAGCGCGACTACAACTCTCTTACAAAATTTAGATACCAAATGCCCGTCTCGTAACCTCAAAGGAAGGAGAATCTTGAAGGAGAATCCACCAGAGAATAGACTCTGGCTGGCTGGATACCGAATTCCACAGGCCACATGCTGTATGAGGAGAACAAAGATAGATGGATATTTTTAAGCGAATGCTCTCTATATATAGGGGGCAAATTCCCATTTTACAATGGTTCAGAACCTGGTTTAAAAATCTGATCAAAAAGAGTGGATGTTGAAAGGTGCTGAAAAAAATTAAATCTTTTGAACGGAAGGCAACCTTAGACTTAGTAATTAAAATAACTAACAGGCCACTGTTAAGTTCGGTCCATTCAATTCACATTCTTCATCGACTTGTTGTTACTCATCCCATTTGACTGGGCTGCCTGCAGCTTCTGAAAATGCAAATGATCATTGTTCTATGTTTCATCACTTGATGATCCTCAGCCTGCCGCTTCATCAGTTGATGAGCCTTAGCCATGCTCATCTTAGAACAGTTGCTGAATATCACCTACCCAACGTCATTTTATAAATTTCATTTAGTGTATGCATACTGTTATAAATAGTAAAGCTTATTTGGTTAACTTAAGATAAAAGCACATATTTTAGGCTTAATTCAGTTCTAAAATATTTATATTAAGACAGTTTGATTTAAACTGAAGTATCAGAAAAACTATCTAGAGGTCTACGTGTAGGCCGTAAAACTTCAGAAAGGTGATGGGACATGGACTCCACGAGCTCTGTATGAGATTGTATAAAAAATGAACACCATGCCTTCTGAGAAACTGTCTGAGTAGTTCTGCAGTATTGAAAGAATTTCTGAGTAGTTCTGCAGTATTGAAAGATTATTTAGCTTTTCAATGGAATGCCTCCTGGCATATAAAATATATTCCATAGCGTTGAAACAGGGCTACCAGAGGGATTATTTTATAATCTCAATTTCAGATTAAAATGTCTAAAATCCCTGTTTGGTGCTGTGAATATACGTGGTCTATATTTTGAACTTCAGCCCCGTTTATTAAAGAGCAAAGGAAACTAGCGAGGTGATGGGGTATCATTATTATTATCATTATAAGGGCACATCCCCGATCCTCCTGGCCGGCATAAGCCGGCCGTATCATCAAAAAATGGGACTGGCCAGAAGGTGATGAGATATTTATGCTTTTGCAAAAGTCCAAATATAATAGAGTAGCTGATATATGATGAGAATTGATATAAAACACCTCAAACCGTGTTTGTAACGTTCGGTGCTCAGAGAAGTGTATGAACACATGAGAAGCTCTCATTCGTATCACTGAACACACCTCGTTCCATTTCTGAGGCAATTCCAGCTTCGATACTTCATTGATTCACTGTGTTATCACAATTCGAGAATCCTTCTCTTTTCCAGAATCAAACTGAAAAGTAATTCATTTGACCAGATACTTACTTTCCGTCTTGAGATGTCTCACGGGATGACTTTTGAGCTAGATTAAATACAGATTTAAGTATTAGGACTCGGAATAATCAGTAAAATCCCGTTTCATGCAGCACTAAATTACGAAGCCATATGCGGCAGAGACGCTTATAGCACGATCATTCAGGCTTTCCATGGCCAAGCTACAGCCTTGCGTTCAAACTCTTACCTAAATTCTTAAATTCTTACCGTAATTTACCTGAAATGGGAGAAAATGAAAATGCAAACTTAAAAATGGCTGATATTAAAACTTAGAAATGACTGACATAAAAAGAAAATGCAAAGCCATATTTTCGAAAAGATGTCACCGAGCATTTACTTGAAAAAAATAAATATTTGCTTGAAAATGGCTGATATTATTACGACTAAATATCTTCACTCTAAGCCTTTTAAATTTCTACAGATGTCTTTCTTTACATACACCCTGCTTACGAGCGAAGTTATTCATGAGAAAAAAAGTTACCGTTAGTATTTCCTAATAGAATTTTCAATATTAGCCTTTCTGGTAATTCGGAGTAAATACGAACAATATAATTTTGGCATTTGGTGTAACACACTTCTTTTTTATATTAAATAAAGATTACACTTTACATCAGTTAGACTTACAAAATCACAGTTAGTAAGCAATAACGCTGTAAAACGAGAGTGGGCAATACCAGACATTATTTCATCAGTCCAAAAATAGTCATTGATTGGCGTTTAAAAATGCATATAGAATGGAAAAATTAGGTATCATAATTTATATTTTATTTTTCTAGATGGAAGTGAGTAAGAGAAATAATTTTTATTTCTTATGCATATTTTTAACACTTATATTTATGTGTTTATTTCTTCCATAAAGATGAAAGAACATTTAGCAACATTTGTGCTAAAACTTTTTGTTGGTATCTGGTGAGGTTGGTGAAGCTGGCTCGCCTTGTCCTTCTTAGAAGACTGTATATCCATGCTTCTGCAGCAATTTAGCGGACGGCAGCAGTCTCGTTATATGGCCCGGGAATTAAGAATACTTCAGAATTAGAGCAGGTTTGTAATCAAGGCTACATTTTGCATTTAAGTCAAGCTTTCCAGTACCCAGATAGCTATTTCTTAATTTCATTTACTCAAATGTTATTTTCAACGCAGTTTTCAACACAAAATTACTTTTAATTAGGTGCTCATCAAATAACAATTTTAAATGTGACCACTTTTTAATTTAAAATAAACAAATAAAGTCTTCAGATCGAAAAAGTTAATAATCGTAAAGTTTTCAACTTTTTAGATTATTGGTCTCATATAACACCTGAGTCATTTCAGTGACTCCTCAAAGCTTATTGAAAGAAAAGCTTATTTATACCTTGCATATCAGAAAGAGTTGCAAACTACAAGAGAGCAGGATTAATTTGGAGAGCTAGTTTAGTTTTTCACAGCTGGAAACATGAAAAATCAATATTGCTTTTTCCTGCTAGCTGGACTAATTCACCACTTACATCACGAGGACATGCATCAAGGAATGTTGTAATATCCTACATAATTAATTGTTTCTGTTTAATGAATATAAATTGTGTCACCATCTGTTAAAATGTGTAAAAACTAGTAATTCCAATATTTTTGAGTTGTAGGAGGCATTTTGGAGGATTTCTTCCTCCAGAATGTAGCATTCATGACCACATTTGCTGGTAGTCTTAAATAGTTCGTTATGCTTTTATTGAGTGTAGAACTGAAGTTGTAAGCCTTTCTTATAAGGATAAGATTCGAAGAACAAAGCGTATTTGAGGTAACTGTTTTGCTGAAATATTTTCGCCATTGTTTTTGCAAGATAATATCACATATTTGAAGAATTAAAAACACTAGTTAATCAGTGAATATACGAAAGAATGCCCTTCCAATAAAGAATTCGTAAATAAATATTTTAAAATTGCGCTCATGTTTGTTACAAAGAATGCCGGGATATCCAGATAAAAAGTGCCTTTTGCACAGTTACAGCTGGCCATGCTTGTGCCATACTCACACTACCTTGTGAGATGTATAATATTAACCCGGAGGATTACTAAATTAGAACAATATTGAACAAAATGATACTTTTACAGAAGCTAATGAATATAATGGCAATATTTTTCAATGCATAAATCTATGTGATGCTCAATTCCCTTACCACTTTATTCATATTGCTTATTGGGCAAGTAGGCATCCGTTCCAGCTTGAGATTCATTAACCCCAAACAGCTATGTACTGTATTCTGCTCTATCACACTCTGTATATCACTTACAGATCTGTAAAATTTTCGCGTTTTTTCTTATACGCCTATTATACTGTGAATACTGCGTATACTCAGTGCTGACAATGTCCTGAACGTTTCTGGAAACTCTTATTACCACTGCTTAGACATACAAGGCTGAAAGATCATACTTAGAGCAGCTATTCAGCCAGGGCGGGTGGCTGGGTGAATTTTTTCTACTCTAAAGTAAATAATATCTCTAGAGAAGTTATAGGACTTTTGATTCTCATTATAGTAACTTCTACTATATACGTGGTTCTACTAAGTAAGCTGTAATAAAGTCTAAGCTATTTGACTAAGTTGGAGACTTGACAGCCTTTCACTAGAGTAAGCAATAATACACGCGTTGTCACTTTCTTGCAAACAACTGTACTTACTCTTTCATTGCTGGTATCCGGTCAAGAGTAGAGCCGTATTCTGACTGAGGATAAGCCAATACGTTAGCGGATGTTAAGGTATCCTTTAATGCTTTAAGTAATTTTTCATAGTCATCAGTCCGTGATAACTTTTGTTTCGCTCCGTTAATCTGTAAAGTTTTGTCCTCGTATCGTCATTTTGTCATCGATATGATAAGGGTAGCTAATTTCGAAACAGTTTTCGTTTCCAAAGGCTAAATAATCTTCCCTACGTTCCTGCAGTCCTTTCTTGGTATTTGCTAGTTATTCCTTAAAAGCGCTTCCGTCTATTATAATATCGTCAAGATTCGCGAGATAAAATATGCTACGTAGTCCTTCCAGAGTTCTTTCCGTTAAATGCCAAAATGTTTTTGAATTGAAAATTGAATTTTTTGGGTAAGGCTGTAACTGGAATAGGTGGTCCTAAAACATAAAAAAAATACTAGCAGATAGGTAAAAAATCATCAGATATCACTGACTTGATGACAAGATTTTCTTTTACAATGACGTAGAAGATTCCAGCTTTTTATAATTACGATTTTCTCCAATTACTTTCGACACGACTCAAAGACGACAATCCAATGTACGTAATACATTGTAGTAATTTTTGTTTATTTATAATATACTGTATTTAAAATTTAAAATATATTATTTATTTGTTTTAGTATTTTTAATTGTTTATTTAATAATATTTTTAGCTTTTAACTCACGAACATTGTTAGAAGACATGTGTAGTGAACTTAGTAATATTTTACAAACAAATTCATGGTCGTTCCGAATGTAGCACTTACGTACGGTGGAGACAGTCTGTAATTTTAGAATTCTTCAAAGTTTGGGTAGCATTTACTTAGTTTATTAGCTACTCTTTCCTCATGAATATTGAATACTACATTAAAGGAACACTACTTAATTGAGTATGATGAAATCCCAAGTAAAATCAGTATCGCCCGTTCAAATTTCTCAAACATACCATCTCATTCACATGGCCTCAACAATGTAGCATGATTTCTTAGAAGTCTATTATAATTCTCGAGTAATGGGTACTGTTTATAATGGGTACTGAATTATAATATCGTCAAGATGAAAAAAAGATGATCGCTAATTAAGAATGAATAATACTTTAGTTACTATCTTGCTTCAAACTGAAGATGTTAAAAATGAATGAAGGTTAGAAGAATAATTTTAGTCTTATAATCAGCGAATTAATTCTTTATACTACTCCGATATAAAATTGTAATGGCAAATGTTGTATATTCTTTGGTTTAAAATTCGACATTTCATCTGAATCAAGGCGTACATTATTGTTAAGCTTAGAGAAGTTGCTATAGTCAAAAGGGTTCAAGTATGTTTATAAATTACTTGAAAATAATTTTCTAGCTTATTTTAGAGAGGTGATTAGTAATTATATTGCTTTTAAATTGCTCTTTTGCTGAAAACTGCAATTATATTGTTTTTAGAGTGCTCTGTTGCTGCAGTTATATTGTAAACTTCAGTTATATTGTTTTTAAAATATTAGCAATTATATTGTTAGTCCAAAGGGGCAATTTGTCCTGAAGGACTATTAATTTCGTTTTGGGAATTTTGCGTCGAAAACTTTAAAAGGCTGTATCACCTTTCAAATCGTTGCCACCATATATTATCACCCTGTCTTATATTTAAAGAAATTAAATAATGAAGAATCTGCATCAATGTATGTATGTTTCTCACATTGTGATAAAACAACAGTATCTAGAGCCATCCAAATTTGAATAACGTAATCTTCCATAGAATATGGGCAGGTGGAAGCCCTAATTTGAATTTGAAATTTCTTTTATTATTGATTTCATATTTCGTAACACTTCAACAAATTTTTGATTACAAAACTAAACGATTTCAAAGTTGACAATGGCAACACTGTACAAGAAAAAAAATATCTCCAGTACGAGACTCTGTATGGAAAATTCTAAAAAGATATGCTCATTTTAAAATTACTTTGCGATATTGCTGTTGAAAGGAATTTTATAGTTTGAGTACATAGAACATGATATTTAATAAATAAAGGTAACACACAAAAACGTTAACAAAACGCCCGTTTGGAGGTAATTTAAAATCTGAAACCTTTCAGATTTTTTTAATGTAATTTTTTAAAAACTGTATTGTTTTAGCAATTATATCGTTTTTAAAGTTTAGCGAACGCAATTATGTTGTTTTTAAAGTATTAGCTCAGCAATTATATTTTCTTAAAGTGCTCTGTTGCCGTGGCAAAACCCTATTTATAGGATTTGGGAGTCATATTTAAGGTTATGAAACGATTGAACTGTGCGGTCTTGAACATAAATAAATGTAAACTTGAATGCTAGTATAATTATTTGTTATAAATTGATAGTTTGCGCCGTTAGGTGGCGCTCCGAACGTCTTGTCTCTGTTGATATTCTGTAACTCTTAACTCGAGTTTGATGGAAGATCGAAGGTGTTAAGCCTAATAATGATGAAGGCGTGTGCCTAAAAATAATGTTTGTAACCATTTGTATTATATTGTAAATAAAACGTGTGTGTATTAATAACGAGACGCAATGATCACTTACCTCTGGAATTAACGCTCTGAGATGGTAATGGAATTAATTACTACATTATTAAACTATATAATAATCTGAGAAATTATTATTATATTATCAATAATCTTGATGCAAGTGCAAATATCCCGAACGCATCAGGAGACAAAACTGAGTTAAGTAATTTTTAACGCCTGCAGTGGTAATTCCAAGTTCTGCCTGGCAGATTTTACAAATTATTCAGGTCTCCCCTCTGAATTACAATACAGTTTTAATTTATGTGGTTCGTGGAAACCAAAAAGAAAAGAAAAAAAAAAAGCAGAAGACATTTGGGATTATCGGAGATCAACCAAATTTTCGAAGAAATTAAGCTTCGTAGATGATAGATCAACTATAGCCTAGTTACATACCATCACATTGTCCTGCTCAGAAGTTAAATGTTTTGTAATACTAAATGACAATATTGTATGAGAAGTTACCGCTTTTATAATGTCATTTGACATCATCATATGATATACAAATTAGCATCTGCTTTTGGATCGGAATTACTGGTGAACACCAAGCGAAAGATTCATACGTCTGAGTAGTGTCTTAAACTCAAGGATGAAAATGGGAGTTTTGAAAAAATTTGACAAAGCTTTTACTGGTTTAGTTTATTTTAAAAAGATTAGCTAAATGCTCGTATTTTGTTGATGTTGAACTTATTTTTCGTTTTATTTTTGTAGGTTACATCAAAGCCCTTGAAGAGCCTTTTTGTGGATCGACTGTTATTACTAAACACTTTTAACTCCAATGAAAAAGATAATTCAACGCTAAATGCATTAGAACAAAAAATAAAAATTCCCATTGGTGATATTCTACCTAAAAAATGGCTTGCCGAGCTTCGTGTCAGAGAACTCAAAATCCAAAATGGTGACATAGACGGCTGCTTCTTATGCGATGAAGCACTTGAAGGCCAGAGGGATTTCTTAACTGCTCTGGTAGTCAAGAATGCTAATCTGAAGTAAGTACATTTAATTGTTCTTATGAACATGCACATATAGGTTTTGGAAAAGCTTGTTTATCCTATAAAATTCTGAAACGACATGTCATAGCGCAATGGAATTAATGCACAGCGCAATCTAGGAAACTGATTTTGTCCAATAAGCTGAATAGGTTCTACCAAAATTTTCGGTAAAATAGATGTTTAAAAATTAATTCAAAAATCAATAAAACTTGTAGAGACATTAGGTATTTTGGAAGCAGGAAAAATGAAAAATATGAAACGCCTTCGCAGTGAATCGAACCACGGACGTCTGGAATACGTACTCCAAGAAGGTAGGAGAAATACCTTAAATACTCCCACTTTTAAGGGGTCACTGGGGTTTTTAGGGGACCCGATCACTAAATCCTGGGTGTGGAGAATCATCATCAACCACTCTTTTAGTTGGGAGGAGAATTGAAAAATTAGCAAACATCTTCGCCGGGAATCGAACCGCGGACCTCTGGAATACGCGCCCAGCGTGCAGACCACCACACACCGAAGGCATGCCAAGAAGGCTGGAGAAATACCTTATAAATTAAAGAAAAACTTGCTATTTTTCAACCCCTTACTCTAAAAAAATACCGTGCCTAATCGGCACAAAATGGTACTTGATTTAACAGTATGTTTAGAAAAAAAGAAGAAAACAGAAAGAAATGCAGAAAAATGTTAAAGTTAAATTTCCTATCATCATGCTAAACTGTAAAGCTTTGCCTAAGATCATCACATAATGCAACCGAATATATCCAATTGGCGGCCTAACGGATAAGTTAGAGAACACTAATTATTTAACTCGCATTAAAGTCCTAGCGAACGAGTTCAATGCTTCTGTATTTGAAAACAACTTTTTCAGTTTCCTTTTAAGCCGGCATAATATTTAGTTTCGGTACTTCCGTATTATCCTGTCGACCGTGAAAGTTGGCTACCATCGAACCGTGAAAGTTGAAGGAAAGCCCACCAAAGTTGCGTCAATTATTCTTGCTGAATTTTGAGCCATACTTATGTCTACAGCTTTTACAATAAAACATTCATGATTCTCATGAGTCATGCATAATCCTACATTGTTATCCCCGCCTGGGTTCAAATTTCGGCGAACGGACTGGCTATATGGCCTTTTTCGTGATTTTCCTCTCGTGTAACATGGATACGAGCCAATTTTCCTTATAAAGTTCTCCACGAAGACATCCCCCTTTAAGCAAATGACCCTTTTGTGCTTTTCCATAAACCAAACCAAACCATGCAAACACCAAATAATCATCACTTCTAATTTATACAGCCTTTCAGTGGAAAAACAGTCATCTTTCGCGATGATATTTCTTCTATCTTTTTGTTTGCATAACCCTCTTTGCTGGAATCTTTGACATACTGCACTGGTACTGAACCTACAGAACTTCCTGAACACGCATCTTTTAACCCTTTCCGGCACGCTACCTTTCAAAGTTGGAGTTTTGATAGAAAAAAAGGTAGGCAGTCTAATTAAGCTTAGAGGGGTACACAAGTAAGATTTTGTGAAGATAGCACTTATCGTTTTAATTCTGTGGGTGTGCCCAAAGTGGCACACTGATTGAATAGAGCTTCGGAAAAGAGTGCTGAAACGAGCATTTTTGTCAATGAACTGATCGATGAGATGCGGAAAACAAAGAATACAGACTCTCAGTTGTCCTAGATTATCGGTGAGCCCGGCCTGGGCACACCTAGGGTTCGTTGTTTGATTTTAGGCAAGATTTCAAGGTAAAAATTTTAAACTAATATAGAATAAGAAGATTAGAATACAGCCAAAAAATAACATAGAAATTTCTTTTCAAACAACTCCTTTTATACCCTAAAAAAATCTGGAAGATTTCTTTGAAAAATGAGGGTCTTAAAAAACTAAACATGGCTAAAATATATGGACTGGTTTGTGTTGAACTGCCGTCTACTATAAATAAAGAAGGTTCAGAGTAACATATAGTAACCTATAAATTTTTTTTCATTCAATTTTTCTATGCGTACAGAAGAAAATTTTTAGGTGTGTCCAGACCGGACACACTGTGACGCAAAGGGTTAAAATTTTAGTTTAAAGTCTCTTGAGATGTACCTTCCAGCGAGACTGCTTTTCATTTTCTAGAGATTTTAACAGCAAATTAAGCTTAAAGTAACACGAGAGGGACAATAGTTGAGTTAAAATGTGCTTACAAAATGATAGAGGAATAAAATATCTCTCAAACGTTTTAAAGTTCAACAGTATCCAGTGTTTATCCTGTCTCACCTAGTGATCCGATGTTAATACCGGGTGCAAATGTTCTAAATCATATACTTTTGGTAATTTTGAAAATTATTAAGTGACATATTAAGGAACATATTTTTTAAAAATTATCTGTAAGATAAGGAAGATAAAGAAAAAATAGCTATTTGAAACACTCTTTGTAAGAGGGTTAATATAGAATTTAAATTTCATACATTTTTACTAAATGAAGAGATATGATGAAAGCCGTCAAACTCTAAACTTAGTTTATATTGTTAAATACTTAGTTTGAAACTAAGCTATACGGTATAGATATATCGTGAGTAAGATTTTCGCTTGTTTGGAATAAAGCGAAGAATTAATCCAAATATAGTTGAGTTTCAATAGCCAAAATTGAAGGAATACACCCTTCATGAAAAAAATATTAAAAATTCGACTTAAAATCAGTATCTGTTTCGAATAATATTTCATTATTCCATTTGATTTACCTTCAAATTTTTAGTTGAAAATTATTTCGAATAACTGAAGTTCAATAAATCGAAGTTGTAGTGTATATTCATGGTGTGTCAATAAAAGTAGAAATGTTGCAAATTTTGCATTGATGAAACTTCTTGCCTTAATACAAATATGATAGTTAATTAAAGTAGAAGCTTACAGATGTCTGTTTTTGGCACGACTCTAAGAGTAGAATATCGCATTCCTTTTGTCTCTTACATGACAGCGAAAACTGTTCTTTAAAAGGACACTTGCGTTTTCTGGAGTGAAAATAATCTCAAGGAGACAAATCTAGAGAACAAGGGGGATGACAGAATACACATGCATATTTTCAAGATAGAGCAGTTCTACAAAGTAGTTATTGACCAGTAGAAAGGTGGGTTATCGTGCAGTATAACGGTTTCCGAATGAATTACGTAAGATTAACAGTCGTCTGCTTTATTCTTAGCTTTTCAAGTCACCCATTAAACAAAAGATTTAAAATTGCAGCATTGTTTTGTCACCTCAGCTCATAACATAAACTGTGTATAATTTAATCTAAACACCTGTTTAATACGTATTCGCATGGTGAATATGGCAGAGAGATTATTCTCCCGTCTTATTCCAAGCGAATACAATAAATAGCAAATGTAACTGAATCTTCATTTGCGTTACGGCTTGGTAGTTTAAAAACTAACGCGTTAACAAAACCCTGCTATTTGTGCCCGAAAACGTAATAATACTTTAAATACTTGGAAATCAAATAGTAAATTGAAAAATCCGCAGGGTTACTGTTATAACTGGAAACTGGGGTTAGAATCCTGCAGATCCTACTAGATAGTAAGAGAGTCACCCCTGGGTCTTGAAAAACTCAAGAAACACAAAAGAAGGCTTAAACAACTCTTTTAACTTTTATTTTAGTTTCAGTTTCAGCATAAAGGCAAAACTTGTACTACAGATGAAATTGCCGCAGCTTGTGGATATTTTAAATTAACAGAAGAAGCAATTAAATTCGAACGTCGATAACGTAGCATGAGACTGCACATTAAACAGAATGAGCTGGCTCATATATTTTACCGGTGCATATTCAACGCATCGATTAGCGAGAATGCTAAAGCTGGAATATAATTTTTAAACAGAGCTGGCTAAAAGCACCAACAGCAAGACGGACTGCGAGAAGCTCTCTCAACTAAAAATTCAAATTCTCAGCTTAAACGCGCACTAAGCTAATTTGCATTCTGGTTAGGAATATGGAAAGGAGAAGTTGTAATAAAGATTTAAATCATAATAACTGGTTAATTAACATTGTATAGTTGACCAATCTAATAACTTTTAATTTAAGTGGTTCCGATAGTGGAGTAGCCGAACGGCTAAAGGCTGCTAATAGTTTGTCTCGGGACTCAATATTCTACGTAGATATGATTTTATTCCTTTCCTCCATATTTTCTATGGACTTCACCGAACCACAAGAGAATTATGAACTCACCATGTGTTCGAAAATCTTCAAATATCATGTTACCCTGGGATAGCGAAATGATCGCGGGTACCCAAGAGAGCGTCGGCATCGCATCGCGCCTGAACCGAAACCAATCCAGGCGAACGAGCTAGTCTTCGAGATTTTGTCTTTGTGCAACATCATTACTAGCCACTTTTTCTTACGAAAGTCTTTTATGAAGGCATTCCTCCTCTATTTAGGCAGATACGCTTTGTTATATTTAAATAAACCAACCAACCTAATTTATGCTCAATGTCTAAATGCAGACGTCTAAACTAAGAAAACCAGAAATTCACCAAAGTAGAAGCTTCGGTGCTAAAATGGTTGATTGATACAAGATTAGCAATATGTCCAAAGAAAAGGAGAAGCTTTTACACTTTTTTAATTATGTTTTAAAATGTAATGAAAATAATAATAATGTGAAAATAAATATAACAACAATAATCCTTTATTATAATACTAAAATGATTAGAATTCAGGTCTTGAAAAATCACAATTTGACTCTTAAAAATGTGTTTATACTCAAGTACTATGTTTACATAAAAATATATTTTGCTTTGAAAAAAATAGTCTTTGATGATAATTAGGGACCCTTCAAAAGTAAAAAACGGCTTGCTCAAGAAATTTTTAATGCTGTAAAAACAAAGAAATATCTTTAGAATAAAATATCTCCAAAAAAAAAAAAAAAATTTTTTTTTGTTTGTTTGTTTACTGCACACAGAAAAGAAAATAAAAATATTATATTCTAATAAATTTTGGCTTTTCATGTATTCTTAATTAGGTATTTAT